GTGGGGGAAGGTCGTCATTGCCATGTTTGAACTCAGATCGCTCACGGGAAGGGAGTTCATCTCCCTCTCCCTTTTTTTTTTTTTTTTTTTTTTTCGAATTACGAAGATGGCATGTAACGAAACTGCAAAATGCCACGCGGGAAAGAGTCACAATAGGCTCGTCTGAACTGTGATCGGACAGGGAGGGGGGTTGATCTCCCTCTCCCTGTTGTTTTGTATAGATTTATAATTTCGAAAAATGCGAAACTGAAAAAAGGCATGTGGGGAAGGTCGTGATTGCCATGTATGAACTGAGGTCGCATAGGGGAGGGGGCTGATCTCCCTCTCCCCTTTGTTTTGTATCAGATTCGTAAGAGCGGAAAATGCGGAACTGAAAAAAGGCATGTGGGGAAGATCGTGATTGCCATGTATGAACTCAAGTCGCATAGGGGAGGGGGTTGATCTCCCTCTCCCGTTTTTTTTTCTTTTTTTTTCTCCTTGCAAATGCGACGAAACTCAAAAAAGCGACGTGGGGGAAGGTCGTCATTGCCATGTTTGAACTCAGATCGCTCACAGGAAGAGAGTTTATCTCCCTCTCCCTTTTTTTTTTCGTTTTTTTTTCTTCAGATTACGAAGATGGCATGTAATGAAACTGCAAAATGCCACGCGGGAAAGGGTCACAATCGGCTCGTCTGAACTGTGATCGGACAGGGAGGGGGGTTGATCTCCCTCTCCCTGTTGTTTTGTATCAGATTTGTAATTGCGAAAAATGCAGAACTGAAAAAAGGTATGTGGGGAAGGTCGTGATTGCAATGTATGAACTGAGGTCGCATAGGGGAGGGGGTTGATCTCCCTCTCCTGTTTTTTTTTTTTTTTTTCTTCTCACAAATGCGAGGGAACTAAAAAAAGCCACGTGGGGGAAGGTCGTCATTGCCATGTATGAACTCAGATCGCACACGGGAAGGGAGTTTATTTCCCTCTCGCTTTTTTTTTTCGTTTTGTTTTTCGGATTACGAAGATGGCATGTATTGGAACTGCAAAATGCCATGCGGGAAACGGTCACAATCGGCACGTCTGAACTATGATCGCACTGGGAAAGGGGTTGATCTCCCTCTCCTTGTTGTTTTGTATCAGATTTGTAATTGCGGAAAATGCGGAACTGGAAAAAGGCATGTGGGGAAGGTCGTGATTGCCATGTATGGACTGAGGTCGCATAGGGGAGGGGGTTGATCTCCCTCTCCGCTTTGTTTTGTATCAGATTTGTAA